TATAGCTAGAAGTAAGGTTAAACTTCATGAAAGGTTTCTCTGAGCAAATCTTTGCCTAAAGCGCTTTCGCGGAATACCCCAGCACAATGACCACCATTCAGCTGACAGATGCAAGTAAACAGCAATGGTTTTGGTGTACTGAGCATGTCACCATGGGAAAGAAATAAACTATCTTGGGAAAAAAGTTAAAAAGCTTAAAAATCACAGATTGAAAATGAACTGATTAGACAGCAACAGGACTAAAAATTACAAATGCTATAAAGAGCAGGAATTGTTTATGTGTTACACAGTAAGAAGTAAGGGCTTGCCTGTTAAATGAGCAGGCAGCACAAGAAGAAAAAATACTTTTCCCACTTACAATACAAAATTAGAAAGATTCACTGTCAGATGATGTCACGGAGGCTAGACACAGACCCAAAAGAGGATTAAACAAATTAATGGAAGACAGATCCATCAGTGATTATGAAGAAGGATGGCCTCAAATCCAGCTTTGCCTAAGAACAGCCCTTAACCGCTGATTGTCAAAAGGCGGGGGTCCTTCCATACCTATCTTTTCCCTTGTAATTTTGCCCCAACCATCTGCTGTGAGCCCGATTAGACACAGTACACTGAACTAGACAGATCAATATAGTCTGACCCACTAAGTCTTTTTTCTTGCTCTCACAGGAGATTGCAGTCACAATCACTTTTGCATGACTATTTAAAAGTGTTCAGCACAGCAGAGACTTGGAATTTCTAAAAATCTCCCAGGCTAAACACACATCCTCATCCTACGCCGTTGCCCCCCTTACAGGACAATGGACTGTTCTCATGACACAGCTATCACAACAAAGCCAAGACAGAAGAAAAATATGTAGAGTCTGAGCTTGTGCCAAGATCACAACAGGTCAAGGAGGCATCACCAGAGGACTCCTGGCTGGCCTGAGGGTCAGAGGGGACGTCAGACCTGTGACAAACCTCCGAAGCGGAACTGGAGCTCTCCTCCCACCTATCTCCTCCAGCAAAAACAAAAACTCAGTGTCCGAGAACCTGACTCTCCCCAACATAGTATTTGCAAGAGATAAAAGATCAGCATCTCTGTTTCCACTGAACAAACAAGCCAGCCTTCATTTGCTTTAAAACACAGCACTAGAGAGAGGAGGGGATCAGAAACACCAGACATCCTATACTAATTAATAGAAAATAAAGCCATCAGGAACTCTGAGAGCCTAAGCCTGGAGTGCCCTCTAGGGGTAGCACACTGGCGAGCTGCACACCCCAAACCACTTCCTCGGAGAAGTCCTGGACCAAACTAAACCCTTCCCTAATTAAATCATGGTGAGGCTTCATTTAGCCTATATTTGCCAATACAAAAAAAGGAATTACATATCCACGGTTGGCTGAGTTTTCCTTCTCTTTGTCCTATTTTTTCTCTGACCCACAAGGCTGCTGTGATGGTAACACAGCCCGAGTTTCAGAAAGCCTTGCTTTGGGAAAAGGACTTTCTCCTCCATTAATATAGTGACTGAGAATGTTGAGACAGGGATTCCTTGACACTAGCAATAACAATCGCATACAAAGACAATTCATGAGACAGAGCACACCCCTAAACTTTGGCCCAAACACCTCCCCAGTGCAGAAGCCTGGCTCTGGCGGTCACACGAGGAAAGCAGGCGGGGCGCTGAGTTCCACAAGCCCTTGCAAACCCCCTCAGTGCCTGTAGCAGCAAGTTCAAATCTTTGCTCACAGAGACCCAGGTAACTGGAGGAAGGTGAGGCTGAGGACCGCTTAACAAAGCCCTCCTCCAGCACAATATGTCTGTGTCTTAGAGCTATTGATCAGACCTGCATGCCAAGAAGTCATGACTGAATGCAACCAGCCCCGTTATCCCACTTTCAGAGCTTAAACAGGACCTACTAGTTTCCTGATTTTGGCTGTCTGTGCCCTTCCCACCCCGATTCCCATGGAACAGAAGAACAAAGCCACATGTGCTGAAAAAATATTCCCAGAGGGAATGAATGGGAGAGGGCTCAGCTACCAGACAGCAAAATAGACTACAAAGGGGCAATTTTTCACACTGAGCAAAATTAAAGCAGACAGCGGAGATTTTCCCCAGGACTGAAACAATTCTGGTGGTTTATGTCACACTGTTTTGCTTTCATACCATTACCAATGCATCTGGAAGCAAAAGTCAGAACACTTCTGGTGTAACCACAGAATAAAAAGTGCATTATAAAAGATGGCTCCTCTTCTCAACAAGCAGAAGCATCTGCAGAAGCTACACAAATATAACTAGGAAGCAAATTTTGCAGCTGCTTGTGTATCTGCACTAACAAGTCAATTTAGGGAGTTAAATTTACTCAGCCAAGGACAAGACATGCCACCTGGCTTGTGCGTGCAAGTCACATATAAGCAACTTGAACCTGGGATATCAATGTTTATAACAAACTGCTTCCTAAAGAACAAACATTATTTACAGATATTATTTGGTGAAAAAGTTCCAGCACTATTGGTTTTAAGAATGCTGCAGAAAAATCCTAAACAGAAAGAGAGCAACTAACTTCAATATTTTTGAGCAGAGATATTTCCACTGCAGTTTTAAAGTTCAGTGAAGTCTGAAAAAAATTATTCTGATGAAACAAAACATAGACAAACCCCAACTCAAGCACACTGCACAAAGCTCTGAGTCAGAGATGGCCAGCCTTTTCTTCCTAGCAGAAGGAAAGGATCTGGACACCAACTTACTTTGTGCAACAGGTTACACACAGTAAGTACATGGTTCCTGGAAGCAGCACATGCCTAAAGCAATGTCCTGCCAGGTGCCGCCACATAGCTGGATCTTGTCCCCATGCTCTTCCTGTGCAAGCAACCTCCCCAGCACCAGAAACTATCAGTTGCCAACAGAACTCCATTCCCGAGCTACCATGATACATTTCTGGCCCTTCACAATAAATGTGCCAAAAATGTGCCTTCATAGTAAGTGTTGTGACACATGGAATAAAGTTTTCCCATAGAGACAAGGTTTGTGTTAAGTTGTTTATGCTGCTCTTCTGCACCAGGGTACGCTTGGTGGTTCCAAACACAGCGTGTTACATAGCACTGCATTCAGCTTGGGCCAGCAGAGATGCTTTTACCAAAATCACACATGTGGGCACAATTAACAACGTTCTCAGGCATTAGCTACCCTAGTTTCTATGCCACTCAACAGGCCTTCATTTGAAGCCTGGCACTGCATGGAGAGAATTAGAGCACAGCACCAGGGGAAGCCTTGCCAGCAGATGTTTTGACTTGAGAACATGCAAGCTCTCCCTGGTTTTAATGCTCACATTGCATCCACAATTTAATGGGGAGTTAGAGGTTGGAAGTAATCTCTTGAATCAGCTGGAGCAGAAATACTGTTGACAATAACAAAGCTAATCATTGCTGGGCTCCAACTGGCAAAACTATTCCTTAGAGCCCCACCTCCAAATGTAATCACCACAGAGTGATCACACCCAGACACAACAAAGAGCTCACACCTTCTCTGGACACCAGTGTCATCACTATGACTGAGAGCCCAGCAGACTCTCAATGAGATGCTGCTGATGCCCCAAACCAAGACTCTGGTTCTGAATATTTTTTACAGGCTCAATGAGAGGATGTGTAAGTGGTAGTTGTGCTGATTCCTATTAACTTGTCTGGAACACAGCATGGATTTCAGTAGCACCCTCTTCTTCAAAGGGCACAACAGAAGCGCAGGCTGTCTTTGCCTTTTAGCTTTTGTGTAATAAAAGGTGTCAGATGAAGGATTCTGCAGACGGCACCCTCTCTTTAGTGAGCTGCTTCTTTCTTCATACATTCCCAATACTACCCCTTCCCCCCCAAAAAACCAGAGGTGGTCCTCCCATCTCCAAAGCACACTCAGTCCTTGGCATGTCCTCTGACACTGCCAGCAGGGGACATTGTGTCTGAATGATCCTTTTCATTCTTTGTACAGCATGGGCCCCTGCTTATAGAGACCTGAGCAGAGGGCTGCCAGTCCATTACAGTAGTCACAAAGCAGCAGGCAAACGACTGAAGCAATTACTATTAGACTAAGACAGCTTTAAACTTCTGTGACTCCTAAGCCGACAAGCTATGGAGAGCATTTAATCTCAAAAAGTTAACACAGGCTCCAAAAGAAAACAAATTCTTAGAAATAATTTAAAAAAACCCCAACCCAAAACAAATAAATGAAAACACCTTCACAAAACCTAAAACCTCCTGAGAACTAATAAACAGAGACTTCCTTGCTAGCATATCCATGAGCTGAAAGCTATGCTACTATCAGGGTGTCACCATGTAGTTCTTGGGCTTTTCCTGAGCAGCAGAAAAATGGAATTTTAACTTGATCGTGTATGCCTGCCCTTTACATTCTTACAACTGACATTCATGTTCAATTCCAGCCCAGGTCAGAACTTACCATTCAGTTTCCAGTGCTTGTTTTGTTACTGTTCGGGAAACAACCATTCAGATTCCATGTTTGCCCAGAAACCACTGTAAAGCCACCAGACAGATGGTAGGTGCCATCTCCTACCAGCCTGCACTGTTTTGGTCTGAACATGGACAAGCAAGCTCTCCAGAGTCCACTACCATTTTCCAGTAGTAGTTTTCTACTACTGCAGGATTCTGTTAACGACATTTGGACAACTTCGAGATTCTTGTCCTTGTATCAAAATACTAAGCCCCTGGGATATGGCAGTATAGGTTTTGAATTTCTAGGAGTCATTACAATACCAGAAATAAGGAAAGAAAGCCAAGTCCTTCCATCAATGGAGATGGATCTCTGTGTAACTGAGTGATACACTAGCTTGCAACATCTCTTGCTCTGAGCCAGGAGGCAAAGTTCACCATCATCAGTTCCAGATCACCTTAGAATCCCCCTGTTCTAGGGGAGTGATCTGACCTCCTCATCACTACAACTTCACGATATACGGGGCACATTCAGAGCAATGCAGTGCACAGATTCAAGCCCACCCCTGCCACGTTCCCCACATTCATACCTCTGTTTCAGGCCGAGGAATAAAAACTGGGGGTCTCATCTTCAGAGTCAGGTCCTGAAAGTCCCACTCACCAAGTACGTACTGCACCGGCATCCTGTGGTAGGCAGAAGTAAGTGTGAACACTTTAGGACCACACTCCATAACGCAGAAAAGGTCTCAATACAATGCTTACCTCATTACTAACCACATAATCCCTCTGAAGGTGGACCTCTGGACACCCCTAAGGCTCTCAACTGCATGTGCAAGTGCACTCTCAGGGAGCTGTGGGAGCTCCATTCCCACAAAGGAGTTTGTTATCAAGCACTGGGGACCCAGGCAACTACAGGCCAGTCAGCCTCACCTTGATACTGGCAAAAGTGATGGAACAAATAGTCCTGGAGATCGTTTCCAAACATACTACATACAGGAAGGTGACTGGGAGTAGTCAGCATGGATTTATAAAGGGGAAATAATTCCTGACCAACCTGATAGCCACCCATGACACAACAACTACCTCAGTGCATGAGGAGAGAATAATCAATACTGTTTATCTAGACTTTCCTAGGGGTTTGAGACTGTCTCCCTTAACATCTTCACATACAAGCTGATAAAGTATGGACTAGACAAATAAGGTTGATGGAAAATTGACTGAAGCGGCAAGCTCGGAGTGCAGTGCGCAGTGGAGCACTCCTGGGGTCAACAGTGGGGCCAATATAGCAAAATGCCTCCATTAATGGTCTGGCTGAAGAGGTAAAGAACGCCCTTGGCATGTCTGCAGGTGCCAGAAAATTGGGAGGAGTGGTTAGCAGACCAGATGGATGTGCTACTTTTCAGAGCAACCTCCGGAGGCTGGAGAAATGGGTTGACGGGAACAGCAGAGAGTAATGTGAAGTCCTATAAACTGGGGAGGAATAACCCCATGCACCACTACAGGCTGGGGGCCAACCAAAGCCACACAGCAAAATGAGGATCAACATCGTGACCACACTCACATAAGCAAGTAGGAGGATGCTACCTCCAAACATGCTCCCAAGCATCATGATTCCAAGTGGTTCCCTTCACACCAACCCCATTTAATTTTTGTGTGAAGAGAACCCCTCACACTGAGTAAGGAAATGGGGGACAAACGCAGACCAAAGCTACAGCAGCCATGAATACAACAGGGAAATCCCCTACAAGAAAAGCCTAGAAAGGAAAGCACAGCAACACCACAGACCAGTATAGGACGGGCTGCTGAAGAAAATGCTGAATCAGACAGAAGGGGCCAAAGCCAAATTTTGAAAGCACAGAAGGGCTTAATGGAAAGGTACCCAACTCAGAGCAGTTTCCTGCTCCTCTGCAACATCCCTGACACTCTCTTCACTCCCAGACAGGACAGACAGGTGATTTGCTACCTGATAACAGCAAATGCCCATCACTTGAATCACCATAAGAGACCAACACAGCACTGTTACTTGATACGTCAGCTGCCAATGGTCTTCTGCATTCTTTCTCCTACCATTCTTCTGGCTGCATTAAGACTGAAGGAAAACCCGCCAAAGCAATGACTGTCAGAGGATGCTCCTACCTTTCTAGTCGCTTGTTGCTCAGCTGCTGGATTTGCTCCTGCTGCAATGCTGTCAGTGGAGTGCAGAGGCTTTTAGAGTTCAAGCTCTGAAACTGAAGATAAGGTCACTTTAAAACCTGCCCACGAGTGCCACTTGGGTGTCCCCTGCACCCTCCCAAGGACATCCTCCAGGGAGACAGACCTATCATGCTGGCAAACACGTATGCCTGGGACTGTTGGCAACCTCAAATGATTAAGAGAATCTATCTGCATGTTTAAAAACAAACCTGTACTACTGTTCTGCTACTTTTCAGGGCTTACTTTTCAGGGCAAAATTAAGAATCATTCCACCAAGTAAGTCAGCGTATGGTGTGAGTGTATAGGTCATGGGTCACATTTCAGTCTCTGCAAAAGGGAGCATTTAAGAAACTTCAAGTGTTCTATCAGCATTAATAAACTATGCCTCACTCTCTCGGCCATCTGAGGTAGAGAAAAGTTCTTCTACTTCTTGTGAGTGAGATAAAAAGAAAGGTAAGGGATTCAACCAAAATGACAAAGTGAGAGGCACATACAGACCTTATTGTTTTCCTATTACTTAACTGTTTTTGCTCCCAGGACAAATGACACGATATATTCACTGGATTCTCGTGCTTCAGGGATCCCATTTGTCTCAAACACCTTCTGCCAGTAGTTGACCGCATCAGTGGCAGTCACAAGCCCAGGTCTTGCACTGCAGCTCTGTCTCAGAGATGACCACTTTGGACTGAGGATGGGACCTTTACTTTGACTCAATCCCCCTGGTGTGCACTGAGGTGAGAGACCCAACAACCTCCGGAGCAGCGGGTGAGTGAGGCATCTCATTGTTCCAAAATCAGCTCCTGGCTTCCACATGTGTTTCTCCTTGCCATCAGCTGATGCAGTCAGTGCTGAGACTCAGAGGACACATGGTGCTCCCAGAAGCCACTGTGGCTAAGCACAAGTTGACCACAGTCAGTGGATTCTCCTGAGGGCAGCATGAAAATGGCACTGGTTAGCAGCTCTTCTGGTCTAGAAAAGGAGGCAAGAGTACAGCCTGAATCCCTTGGACTAGCAAACCACAGCTTCCCCTAAGACAGAAGGCAGACTGCTTGCCCTACTCCCAGCCCACAGGCACAAAACCAATTACTTACACCCTAAGAGTAACAAAGTATTACCCCAAGAAAAAGACTCAGGTGACAGCTAACAAGCTCTGCCACTGGAATCCATTTATTCACAGAGCTGCCCATCTCCACAAGTCAGAGCTACTAGGAGGCCAGTCCATGCCCATGGCAGGGCAGAAGTGAGTGTACCTACACGCAGGCATAGCACTCCTGCCTGTCCTTGGCCCCAGAAAGCCACAGACACACAAACCTTCAGCTCCAGCCCTTGGCTCTCCACCCCATGGGTGGGTCGCCTTGGTTCCCTGCAGGAAGACCTCCAGTTTCTCCAGATTCTTTCTTGTATTCCTCTCTTAGTAAACCGTAAGTCCTAGGTTAGCGGGTGTGCTTACAGAAGACTTTGACTCTATGAGTCAAGGGTCTTCCACAGTCACCATCCCCAGAGAGCAGAGAAGGGGCTGCAGAGACAAGGCTGAGCTGCTAAGAACAGAGGAAGGAAAAAAGCTCACAAGGGATGAGAGGGAAGAGAAACGCTTGAAAGACACAAAGGCCAGGAAAGTCAAACCCTGACAGAGGCACAGCCAGACAGAGAGGGAAGAAAAACAAACAAGATGACTGCAGGAAACAAAGGAGATGAAACTTTAGAAAACAGCTGCTGCATATCACACTTGGAACTGTGTTTTAATGGAGACAAACAACAACCACCCCCCTTTCCTGCTGTGATCCATCAGAAATCAGGGCCCCCCTCCCTTCTGACTCACAGTCCCTGGAGCTGCTGTGGGTTTCCCTGAGCGCCCATTCCCATTCCACTACTGATGGCTGCTTTTCATCACTGTCTCAGAGAGACCATAACCTCCCCTCCTCCAGAAAATCACCACACAAACAACTAAATACCTCTCCCAGGCAGCTGGCAGCACCCAGGGTGGGTGGCTCTCTGCTCTGTAGGAGTGCTGCTACAGGGGGACCTGGGGAGACTGGGTCAGCTCCCACCTGGTTAGATGCTGGCACTGAACCCCTGCAGCAGCCCTAGACCCTGTTGCATCTGTGCAGGCAGTAGTGTGGGGCTGCACAGTGAAACTACGGGAAGAGTCAGGCCTCCACTGCCCTCCCTTGCAAAATCAAACCCAACAGAGCCCAGCGAAGCAACAGAGGGAATACCTTGCAGCAAAGATCTCAAGATCAGCTTACCTGCTACTTCCTGGCAAAGGGGTGGGTGCTCTGAGAGCCCAAGGATCCCCTTCTTCTTCATTACCCTTGGCAGAGAGATAAGCAGCCCCTATGAAAACTCGCCTTTATGTTATGTATAAGCAATGTGACTGCTGCAGTCTTTACCCAAGCAGCTTCCCACTCCAGGGGCCCTGTTTTGGGGATACCACCACAAGAGGAACACTAAAGGGGTAAAACATTAACCATTACTGTTGTTAGGGAGACTTTAATTGGCCACGGCTGGAACAATGCTGCCACCACTGTAATTACTAATAAAGGAGACCAGTTACTGATGTGAGGTCTCTGCATGCTACTTCTTGGTACAAATACACATTTGCACACAGGTAGGAAATAGATTTTTTTTTTTCCTGTGGTTTGGTCCATTTCCCTACTTCTCCACTGGCCCATTTGGCCCCAGTTCCCCATTCCCTGTAGCCCAACACGTACACTGGTGGCCACTGAAAGGCACGGCCTGTCCCACCCTCCGCCCGTGCTCTACGCTCCCTGCCTCACTCACAGGCTGGGACAGGAGCTGGGGCTTGCTCTGTACCAAGTCGATACCTTTCTGCTGCAGGGTTAGCAGTGAGCCGAGCCGGCCCCTCGCACGGCCCCGCTAGCCCTACCCGGGGAGCTGGTACAAGTCCCCATTTGGCAGCCAGGGAGCTGCCCACCCTCCCCTCATTTCAGCGGCTCTCCGGCGGTAAACCAGCCCCACAGAACACGGCCAGGACCAGAGCCCGGCCTTCCCTGCACACACAACATCCTGAC